TGGGGCATGATCTCGCGGTCCCTCCCCCGGGGGCAGCCCCTCCTCACACTCGGCCGGCATCCTGCCGCCTGCGCTTCCTGATAACAGGAGCCCCGCTCCAACGTATGAAAGTGTTAACACCCACCAGATTCGATTAATCTTATCTTTACAGCTCCCAATTACGGGCGGTAATTAAGTGAAAGCAGCACTGCCGCCCGTACTGCATTAATCCTCACCGCCTCGGAGCTGGCCAGTTCCCCACCAGGCCAGCGGCCGCTGCCCGGTGCGGGCTGAGACCCGCACAGCTGCTCTGGGTGGAGGCGGACTCCCGTCACCTTCACATGGGCCGGCAAAGGCCGTGTGAAAGCGAGTCCTCTCAGCTGGGAGCAGACTGCGGACACCCTCTGAGGACCACAGGGGGAGGTGCCGCGTCCCTCGGTTGGGGTCGTCTGTCCCGGGTTAGATCAGAGACTACAACCTCGCCTCTCCCACCCCACTCCTTCCCACGGGGTCGTGGGGAAGGTCACGCCACGCTTTCGTATAGGACAACAGAAGACTACGCCGCGACGTCCCCACGACCTTACAGTTCAGTAAGAAAACTGGGAGCAGCAGTTGGGGTAATGGCTATGTCGCTGGACTCCCACGTAGTCGACCGCGGGTCGAGTCCTGGGCCCGGAGGCTTAAACTCACGCTGAGCACGTGTGTGTGCGTGCCCAAGATCCCGAGAGGAGAATGGAGAAGGGATTGCGGCGTGGCCATCCCCCCCGGGAGGGTGATTTCTCGCTTTCTGTCTCTCTCTGTCTGTCTGGCGAGCGCACGCACCTTATAGCAAAAACCTCTTCAAAAAAAAAATAAATAAATAACAGCCGTCGAGGTAATGGACTCCCAGCTGGGCCATCTCCCGGCACGCAGAGGCCAGGCTGTGTCCTCCGAGACTCGGTGTGTTCTAGAATGACAGCCGCAGTGATGCTTTGAGTCAATCGGGTCCCTCCCGGGGACCAGCTCGGTCTCTGGGGCATCCTGGTCGTGAGAACCGAGATGTCCCCAGATACTCCAGTGTCCCTGGGCAGGATGGCCTTGGTCGGGGACCTCACTTTACCAGCCCCTCTGTGGAGGGGGCCGTGACCACCTTGCCCCTCCTCTGCGTGGATGACCAGCCGCCACTCTGCTGCAGCTCAGGACCCAAACCCAGAATGTTCCGCTCCCTGGAAACACCTAGAAAGCGACGCTTTCATTCGCCCGCGTCCTTGGCTGGGCTGGGCGAGCCTGGTGTAGCGCGGCGGCTGCGGCTTCTCTGTCCTGGCCGGCTGGAAATAGCCCAGGCCCCCATGGCGCCAGCTTCCGCGCCGCGCAGTGCCCGTGCGATGTCACCCCCACGTGTCTGCTAACGCTCCCTTTCCCTCACTGACGCGGAGCTCGGTAATCTCCCAGTCACACGATGTGTAAAAATGAGGCTTAGGAAGTGGGTGACAAACGGGCTTCCTCGCGTCCCCGAAGCTGCTTTTTCCCTGCTGGCTCCTGGCGGGGCGCAGAAGACGCATGAGCTGGCGCTGGCAGTCGGGGGGACGGCTCTCCCCGTGCTGGGCGCGGGACCCTGGCAGTTCCCGTCCAGCGCTTCTGTGCTTCTCGCCTCTCTGGCCTCGGGGTTTCAGGCCACTTAAATTGAATGTGTTCGTGTCCTCCTGGGATCCAGGGTACCGTCCCCGCCCTCCCTCGGTCCCGGCAGCCCTGCCCCTGCCCGCTGCCGTCCCTCGCGCGTCTGGCCGGGATGCAGTGGCGCTCTGCTCTGTGCCGACCTGACCCCGCTCTCACCTGCCCCTTCTCCTGCAGGTACGCCATCCCGCCGGAGCACGGCAAGCGCCTGGAGCGGCTGGCCCTCGGTAGGTGATGGGTGATGGGTGATGGGCCATCGGCACCAGCAGGGGGGCGGGGGCGTGGCCGTCCACCCAGATTTGCTGGGTCAGAAGTTTGCTCCTGGGGCAGAGACGTGGTCCGAGGCTGCGCTGTCCCTTTCCTGTCCTCGTGCGCAGACCCTGCTGTGTCCTGTCACGGTTTCCAACCTGAATGCCGGGCTTTAATGTGTCCCTTGGTTTTCCCACAGTGAACGTACGCTTGCTGGGGAGAGACAGAGATAGTGGGGGGGTGAGAATCGCCCCCTGGGGGGATGACCGCGGCTTAGTCCCATCTCCGTCCGTTCTCCTGGGATTTTGGGCATGCACACACACCCGCCCCGTGGGATTTTCAAGGTGCCAGGTCTAGGACTCAAACCGCAGTCAGCCATGTGGGGGCCCAGCACCTTAGCCACCACGCCACCTGCTGACCCTTTTTCACCAGTTTCGTTTCTTTTTTCTTTTAAGAATTAGTTATTTGGGACCAGCAGCTGGTATAATGGCTATGTCACTAGACTCCCATGTAGTTGACCGTGGTTCGAGTCCCAGACCCAGTTGCTTAAACTCACGCTGGGCGCGTGTGCGTGCCCAAGATCCCGAGAGGAGAATGGAGGGGAAGGGATTGCGGCGTGACCATCCCCCCTGGTGGGTGATTTCTTCCTTTCTGTCTCTCTGTCTCTCTCTGGCAAGCACATGCGGCCTATAGCAAAAACCTCTCCAAAAAAATTATTTAACTTTATTTATCACTATTACTTTTTTAAAAATTGCTATGAGGCAGACGTGCTTACTAGAGAGAGACAGAGACGTGAGAAAGCAGGCTGCCAGGTCCAGCACTTAAACCACCTGGCCAGGCGGGAGTCCAGCGTGGAATCACTGCATCACCTGCCGGTGCTTCTCCAGCGTCTTCCAGGGGAGTGTTTGCACCTGGCTGCAGGCTCCTGCATCTGCACCTCCACGTGCCTTTCCTTCTGGTCTGGGAGAGGGACGCAGCCACGCTGCAGTCCCTGCCCTCCACTGCCCATCCCCCAGCCTGTGCGTTCCAAGCCCTGGGGCCAGGATCGGGTGTACAGCTGTCCGTGTGGCCTCGACGCCTGTGCCCACCGGCCACCGGGCCTGCCTGCCCGTGGCTCCTCAGAGGCCCGTCCAGCCCAGGAAAGGAGGCAGGCCAGCTAGCAGCTCCTCACCGGTGTGAGGGGTGGGTGTGGTGACCACAAGGCCAGTGCCCTTGTCATGGTCTTGCAGGAGACAGACCAGGAGAACCCAAGGCCCACGCAGAGTCAGAGAGCTCCGGTTGGTCATGCCAGCACCCTGAGGCGCCCGTACTGCCAAGTGTGGGCCCTGGCTCAGGGGCCTTACAGGGGTTGTGTACTCAGGGTTCAGGCGTGCTGCAGACAGACGGAGGCAGAAAAGCCGCAGACCAGCTTGCATCGGCTCCCGTAGACCGGCAGGCAGGCTGTTTGCACAGGTGGGACGGAAGTGCTTCCTGCTTGCAGGCAGCTTCCAGCAAACAGTCCCTGTCAACGCTGTGACCTAGTGACCCGAGCGCCCTCTATGCCTCCGGGGACTAGGGCCTCCCGAGCTGCGTCCCACCTGGAGCGGGTGGTTGTGGGAAATTTAGAAGCCAGCCAGGCCTCTGCTGGTGGCGCCCCGCCGAGGTCCCGACTACTTACCCAGGGCCCCTGCACAGACAGAGGATGCCCGCTCCCCACCCCGGTCCGCGCAGAAGCTCCAGGCTTGGGGCACCAGGTGGCCGTAGGTGCCTGGAGGGACGGTGAAGACTGTGCCCAGTCAGGAGCCGGCCCTCTGGAGCTGCCACATCTGTGCTGGCCAGGTCCAGGCAGGGCCAGGCAGGGCCCCGAGCAGCTCGGCTGTGCTGGCCACCCTGCAGCCTGGGCTATCCTGGAAGTGTCCACACCTGCCTGGCACCCAGACCCTCCCGCGGCCCTCCCCTCTCTCTTCCCACTCCCTTTCTCTGTTTCTAGGGAGGAGAGACAACTTAGGGGAGAGAGACACACAGGCACTTGTGCTGGGTCTCTTTCTTTTCCTTTCTTTCTTTTCTTTTCTTTTTTTTATAAAAAGAGGTTTCTGCCTTAGGGGGTGTGCACTTGTTGGAGAGAGAGAGACAGTGAGAGGGAAAGTGAGAAATCACCTCCAGGGAATGGCCATGCCGCACCCCTTCTCCTGCAGCTCCGTGCACAGCCGTGCTCAGCCGTATCAGGTGGGCCTCATGGGAGGCCTTGACTGCTGCCCGGTGGTGCCCCCGTGCTGGCTTCCCGTGACTTGATGCGCCCTCAGCACGGTCTGTCTGGAAACGTGGGGTCTCCTGGCCTAGAGGCCGCTCAGCAGTCACTTGTGGGCAGCCCAGATCCAGGGGCGTGGAAGTGGGGGCTCCGTCAGGAGGGGCTGCAGAGGCCTGGCCGGGTGTCCTCCCCAGGCCGCGCCCTGACTTCCAGGAGGAGCTGTGCTGGGCCTGCCTCACTGTAGTTCGCCCGGTCGGACACGGTAGAGCACTGAGGCACGAGCCAGGTTAGGACACTTCCCACCGTGGTGGTTCAAAGTAAACCCAGGCTCTAAATACAAAGCTGAACTCGAAGCTCGGCGTTAGAGACGCTTCCCGTCGTGCTCATCGTCTGTGGGCTCCGCAGCGTGAGACAGCACGCGTTCCTTCCCTTCGGCCCTGGGGTCCGGAGTCTGAAGCCGACCTTAGGCCCGAATCTAGAGTCTGCAGGGGTGTTTGGGGCGCCCCGTCCCGGGGC